CTGTCTCTTCATTTCTTGCCTCTTAGGTAGTGCCCTAGACTCTCCTTCCATGGTTACTAGTTAAGTCAGTCCTACAAAACACCAACTCCAGCACACAAGGCAAGCACGGAATTTTGATTTGTTTTCTTTCTGGTATATTATGTACTACACAAATGCAACATTTGGGCTCAGTCAGGTAACAAAGAGAAAGACATTCAAAATTGACCATAAAATAAATTGTAGAAAGCAGATTTTATATGACAATACACATGCAGCTTGCAAAAGAATGAAGACAGTGTACTGGTATTAAAACACATTTCATATAGAGACAGCTTATGCAGCAATTTACAAGTTTAACCTCTGGCTGGAGTACACAAGCCCTTTAAAGCTGGCATTCAAATTACCACTAGCTTAATTAGCCATACTTAAAGTACACAGTAAAATTTAACTTAATGTTTACATTCACTAGCCATCCAATCCAGCATCAAGGCACTTTCCTAGTTGGTATATCTGTCCCTGTGTGGTACACCTCCACTTACCTAGATGCATATATTGGCACAGCAAATTGGGTGCCCAGTAACTCCTTATCCCCAAATAAAAGCAATTGGTTACTAGACAATCCCTGGCTGTATCAAAGTGTCAGGCTATATGTGACACTGTAAACAAAACTGGTGTGTTAAAAAAAACACGGCGAGTTGACTGGATCCATTAACAAATGTGCTTTGATGATGAAAAGTGATAGGTGTTACCAGTTTCAACACTGCAGAGAATGCTCATCTACTGCACTCGCGATCGCCGGAGGAGAACAGCTGACACTTCAGTCTGAGCAGGAGGATGTGGAGCTTTCCAGCCATCAGTCAACAGTTGTGCCATTAAGTGTTTTTCATCTATTGTTACAGAAGTGTGCTTCTGCAGAGTAGCAATGACTTTATTGCATATATCCCCTTCAAGGTTGTCTTTGCAAATAAATACAAGTACTGGCTAAGGCTGCATTCTGGGAGGTACTTGCTGCCCACCCTCTCTTTGTTAAGAGGGGGGATGAAGTGGGCAATTGTTGAGCTCTGGCCCTTAGTCATTATTTTAAGTTTGTTTTATCAAATCTTGTGGCCTTAGAAATGCATCCCTGCGCATTAAAAGTCAGCACTGCTCTCATTTTCAGGAATGGCTCAGATTGCACAAGTACTACAAAGGAAACAAGTGAAAGCAAACACACATGCATTTTAGCTTTTTTTTTTTTAAACTGATGCTTTCACTTCAAAAGGAAGAGAAATTGGAATTTGAGTCCAATGCAAGACACTTAATTTCAACCTTCTCCACTTTTGTACTTATACCTCCACCTTTACTGCAGTTTTCTGGATCAAGAGGAAAGCTGAAGACTCTGGGGCTGGCTGCAATTCCCTTAACAGCTGTTTCATGAAAAAAACCTTTACATTTTTCATATAAACTCCTTCTGAATAACATTAAAAGCAACTCCTGGAATTTCAAATGGCTATATGTATCCATCCTGGCAGACAGACAAGAGCTTGCAGGGATTAATGAAATTTTACAGTCAATCAGTCAAGAGAAATTTTTAACGTAGTTAAAGGAATGCATCCAAATAACAGTTAATCTCAACTACTAATTGTCTAATAGGGAAAATAAACTAGTGTATTTAGTCCCATTCAATGCACATAAATTCCAATGTAAAATGTGTATGTCCTGAAGTGGGGCAGACTATTAACAATTTGGCAGCCTTTGGAGTTTCAGATCCCACTGTGAAGCCAACACCATAGTAGCTTTTACTGATGTGGGTCTTGGATATTCAAGACCTGGCGCTAATTAAACAAGCACAGTTACTGAATTTAAATAAGAATGGACACACTAATATAAGTGTGCCTAGTGATGTTCATGACTACTTTAAAAGATTTTTTCCAATATGCTAATACAGGAAAATACTTACTATTTCTAATAGCCTCCCATCCCTCCCACCAAATTAACAGTCTTTACAACTGCTCTTCCACCCTGCCTGAAAAATTGCAGTCCAGAAAATCAAGGACATGAAAGGATCTCTACGGAAATGTGATTTTACTTTAATAATGCCTTTATCTTGTAAAGTGCACCATAGCTATTAGCTGGGGGAGACACTTGTTCTTTAATTAGCATGTTAGGGCCAAGCTCAGCGAATTTCAGTGGATTGCTATAATTACACTACAGAAACTCTAAAAACCTGTATGTAACTGTTCGATATGATTGTTACAGTCCAAAGTACAAACTCAGGTTAAACCCTGAACACTGCACAGGTGTGTTTGGCACATAGGTTTATGAACAAGCTGCAAACCTGTTATTAATACCCATTGTGGCTTCTACAAGCTGTTCACCCACCAAGATCTCCTGCTTAGCCTTCAGAATTTTCGTCCTAGATAAATGCACAAGCTGGAAAGAGAGCATACAACTGCCAGCCAGCCAGAACTCTCTCTAGGATACACTGCAGCATGATTCTGAGAGTTTATTACCACTGGCCCCCAAAGAAGCAAAGAAGGATGCCAGAAGTGACAGGCTAGAATGCTTGTTTGCCAGACCTTTAAAAATGAGAATCTCTTGTTGCTGTTCAACATTGACAATGGTCCATGATTAACAGCAGAGAACAAACTGCCTTCCCTTTGCACAACAGAAAAGGCAAGTGGCAACTTCAGGCAAGACTGATACTCTCTTTCAAATGACAGATGCTACCAAGAGCTGGTATCACTGGATCACAAAAACACCATTAAAAAAAAAATCATCCGCATGTCTTTGAAGACATCCAGACCCTTGAAGCGATGTTTGGACTGCACAGCCACGTTGTGGCCTACAATATTTCAGAGATGAGAAGATGGACTAGATGCACATGGCTGCAAGGCAGTTCTAATAAGCATGCACACTGCTCAGCAGATACTTTCCCTTTTACTTGTGGTTTCTATACAGTCACTGTGGAGTTTGCATAGAGAAGACAACCCATCCCCCAGTAAAGTAACTGCTATGCTTTCCACGAGGAATGTGTTCGGATAAAGGAACGCTCCTTCAGCCTCTGAAAAAATGAAAGATGGTCTCTGCTGTCTCAAGACAGCATAGTTTTCATTATGCTTTTGCCCTCTGGGAGGGGAGTTTGAAGGTGCTGAGATGCAGTGAGGTGAAAAGGAAGGGGACAGGTTTGAAGAAATGTGTAGTTATAACAAGCTGCTGTGTAGTCATCGTAAGCTACAACATAGCCTTTCAGTTCTAAAAAGTGCCCAGATGCAGAAAAATACTGTTGGGATAAAGCAACTGTGGAATACTGAAATGTTCTTAGAGATTCTGCATTCTTTATCTATTTTAAATAGTCCAGACTTCAAGAGGTAATCATATGAGTTTAGTCTAGCACTGAATTTCTTTGTAACAGACGCAAAAGACACGTGGACATTTATACCCATCCTTCCATGCAAGTGAGCAGACAAGGACAAGGGAAGATGAAATGATACTGACACCTGCCTTTCTAGGGCCTTTTAGCAAGTGCTTTGCAGAACAGCAGTACCAGAGGTCACAGCACAAAAGGTTTCAGGTGGTCTTAAATACATAGTTATTTTGCTGAAGGAGAAATAAAACACTTGGTTTATTCTCACAGCATTCAGTGTTTTGAAATAAAGTTCCATTAGTGTCAGATCAGAAAGCTGACTAGTCTAAGTTAGTAATTTTAAAAAAATATCCCTAGGAGTGCCATGAAAGTTCTAGCTATCATTGGAGAAAGGGTTTACTTTCATGTAATGCAATTTTTCTTTCAACACTAGTAGAGACAGTCTCCAAGAAATGTAGCCTCTTCAAATAAATGGAAACTGTTTGAGTAGGGAAAAAGCGAGGCATCAAGAAAAAAAGAATTTTAACAACCACTTAAATGTTGTGGCTCATGATTGCTAGTACATATACTACCAGTAACACTGAAATTCAGAATAGAAGTTTTGGTTTTAGTTCTGAGAGTGTCAATGACTTCAGTGTTTTGGCTGCTTTCAGTTTCAAGGTGGTACTGCTGTGGTACTAGCAGTGAGGGTACAGCACACTAATAGTTGTAGTCAGTCAGGAAGAATATCATATTCCCTTTCTCCTGAGCAGTCAGAAAAATGGTAAAAACTTACAGCTTGTTAACTGCCTCTCAAGCTGTATACAGCAAAGGTGCACATAGTAAATGAAGGCATATATGACCACAGAGGTACTGCGTAATCAGTGATTTGGGTACAAAACCCCTAAGTAACTGTTAATCTATGCTGTCATCTGAGTTTTGACCTTTTGAACACGAGACTGAATTGCTGTGAGTCAGGCTGGAAGGCACATTTTTTAGGCCGAATTATTATATAGTTCATGTGCACATGTATCTAAATGTAGGTAAAATATCAATTATCATAGTAGCATTCAGAGTCAATCAATTTGGTGTTTTCTTATTTGCACACTAGATCAAATCCTATTTAATTTTGATCATTTTTAAACAGGGATGAACATGATTTAAATGTCTGGTCAGCTGAAAATTGAGGCACTGGGCCAAGTAAAAATTCAGTGAGTCACTGAAGCTATTGAAAAGCCTATGACACAAGTATTTTTGCATGTCAGAACACTAAGCTTCAGTCTTACTTTTGCACAATGATGCTCCACAAAACCAGAGCTGGCTTTTTAGGCTTGTACACTGTCAGAAATCAAAGTATTTCTCCTAGGAGGTCTATTGGCTGATCTGATTAATTAAAACTTGCCCTTTTCAATCATGTGAAATTCTGATATGACAAGACACAAAAAAAACCATGTAGAATAAAGGCTTGTTCAGCTATCCAGACAAGATTTTATGTAGTGCATAAAAGTCTCCAGTAGGCCTGGACTGCAAATTCTCCACAAAAACGGTCCTTGCTGTACTTTGTCAAAGGACTCTTCACTTGATTTCAATATTTCTATCTGCAGTCAGATAAAAATACCTAGCTTAATTTATCAGAAACACAGGGGAAAGTGTGAACAGGCACTAATGAAGGTCTAAACAGAGCCAGTCTCTTCTCTCACTGAGGCATATAGCCCCCTTGCCTCACAGTCTGCGGGAGGTAACTTTTTGGCATTTCATCAACTGACAGTGGATTTTCTTCCACTGCTTCAGGTCTCACAGTTTGTCCTTCAGTACTTGCCTGTAAAACATCTGATAGAGCAGCTTCCTGGATATTTTTTTCCATCCCAAGGCCCAATGGCTGTGAACTCTGACCTGAGATCTGCAGATGTACAAATCCAACAAGATCCCTCTCATCAGCATGAGCAATTTGCGTTGTTCTTTCAAAGCACGTGCTGGTTTCATCCTGACCCCCATTTTGTCTGAAATACTGCTGCCTCTGTGCTGCACTGTCATCTCCTTCAGCGTGATCCTCTGATCTCTCCTCTGAATCTAGCAGTGGCTGAGTTGACTCAGACCTTGAAAAGACTTGTACAGGTGTCTGGTCTCTGTAGCCATTAAGTACTACAGTTGAATACTGTACAGTGCTTGATGTGTTTTGTGTTGTTTCACCTTCATCGCTGTCAGAGACGCTTTGCCTAGGAGAAGACATGCACGAGGATCCTCCAATGCCACTGCTGTGCCCTTCTGAAGTACTTTTTTCCTTTTTAAGCAAGTCAAAGGGTTTTAGATCTTGTTCTGAAAAAGACTTCTTGTCATCAGCTTCTATTTCTACGACGCTTACATCTGTAAAGCTGCCTTCTGGGTACATCTGATCTTTGGAGCTAACGTTATGCTGAAAGAAAGAGATGCATGTTGCCTAAGAGGAAGGTTGTATTAAAAATCAAAAGCCCCATTAAATATCGAATTTTTATTCTGTAACAGTTTTGAGTTTCTTCATGTAAGTTCTCTTCACTAAGTCTGGCAATACCTCCAAAGCATCTGTTAAATGATGAAAGACACAGCTTTGTTTCCATATCAAGTCTTAATTATGCAGCTATTCTAAAATCATAGTGGATGTGTGTGCAAGCTTGGCTCCCATCTTAATTATTCTAAGAGCCATAAACACAGAACCATTTGCTGTGCAGCACAGGAACATTCCATATTGAGAACCATGCATTACTTCAAATAATGCATTCAACACCACAGCACAGAAGTTAACTGCAATTTGTCGAACAGTATTTGCTTTGTCATTCATCCCACATAGGGCATATGGTTTGGTGCCACCTCATCCATGAGGAACTCTAGACTTTTCCCTCTCATTCATGACTGAACTGTGCAAACGAATCATTTCAGGGTTTTAAGAATGGGAATCATGAATTGCTCACTTAATCCCACTTTCCTATGAATGAGTAAAGAAACTAGTACTTGACTGTTCCAACTACTAAACTGAACTTAATTCACAATGTTAAAGCCCATACTAGACTGAATTTGTGCTAAGGGCCATGTGCTTCTAATGCTCAATCTATTGATGCAATAAAGTCTTCTAACCATATTGTATCTATGTCATGAAATGTAACATTCAGGTTTTTTTTTCCTTGAAATCCATGTCTGCTGGAATACCAAAGACTCCCGCTGGTTAGTTTATCTGAAACCTTGTGGAGTAGGAAGATACAGGATGCAGAAAGGCAAGTATTACCTTAGCTGGAACGTGAGGAGACCAATGAGCAATGTTACTCTTGGATGGATCAGGTACCATAGGCCAGATATGCTTTTTAATTCTGTAAAGGATTGAAAACAGAGTAAGTTACAAGATGCACTCCTCAAATTCCGAGCTCATAGCAAGTACAGCATAATCCAGGACACCACTCCCTTACACA